TCATCAAGAACGAGGACGCTGTCAGGGTCAAATCCGGAGGCGGCAGCATTGCAAGCCTTACACGTGGTGATGATGACTTTGGCTCCCAAGGCTGGTCGTGGCGGCGTACTGCACTGCGAAGTCTGATGCTGGTTCTCATCCTCGATCAAGCGAAGACAACGGACGCTTTGCCAGGCTGCCTTTTCCAGACAACGTCATCATACAAGACGTCTGTTGAGATCCTGCACCAACTATCGAAGATGCTGCTACCTTCGCACGGCGACATTACTCGGCCCCTAAACCACCTCAACTACAAGGTCGAACATGTTCAGTATCCACTACAGGAGTACACCTATCAGATCGACAACATCGCCATCGACCTCCGTGATGGCATCGTACTCACTCGTCTTGTAGAGCTACTTCTCTATCCGTCTACCACCCCTGGAACACAGCAGGACGACACCGTCACTCTTAACCTGCCCAGCGGTGAGCTTCTCAACAGTTCCCTCGACCCTTCGCAGAAGGACACCTGGATCCTTTCCCAACACCTCAAATACCCGGCCATTGGCCGTCCTCAGAAGGTCTACAACGTCCAGGTCGCCCTGGCTGCATTGAGCAATGTACCAGGCATGCCTAGCGCAGCGGTCAGCGGCATCCGAGCCGAAGATATCGTTGACGGACATCGCGAGAAGACGCTTTCGCTTCTTTGGTCCCTTGTCGGCAAGTGCGGCCTTGGGAGTCTTGTCGACTGGCCGCAGCTGGTCAAAGAGACGGAGCGCTTCCGCAACCAGTGGTACAGAGCCCGAGACAGCTACGAGGGACGAGTCCTCGATTCTGAGAACGAAGAGGAAGAGACATCTGAGCTGGACGGTATGGCATACCACAAGCGTCTTCTTCTTTCCTGGTCCCGCTCCATTGCTCGTCTCCATGGCTTGCGCGTCGCAAACTTGACAACGAGCTTCGCGGATCCAAAGGTCCTAGAGGTCATTGTAGATACTTACTTGCCCTCAAACCTGACCATCTCCACTGAAGGAAACGGACGTCTGGGTCTGGCAGCAAAGCTCAAGGCCGTCGGCTGCTCAACCTCATTCATTGCGCTCTTCACGCCGCAGCACAACACCGCTCGCTCCATCCCAAGTCGAGACTTCACCCTCCTCACACTGTCCTTCCTGGCTAGTCGCTTGTTGCCACTTGCTCGTACACACCGCGCCGCATCGACTATCCAGTCAGCTGTTCGTCGTTTCCTCCTCCGCCGCCAGATCAGTACTCGCATCCAAGCCATGAAGATAGCGCATGAATGCGCTGTAGTAGCACAGGCTCGACAGAAGATGGTCGATGCCGCCACAATCATTCAGCGACGTTGGAAGGCAATCCAAGATGCCCGACGTCAACAACTGGAAAGCGATGTCCTGGCTTTCCAGGCCTTGGCCAGAGGCTGGGCTATCAGGCGATGGGTCCGCCGCATCACCGCCGGTCGCGTTGGTGGGAAGGAGAAGGTTAGGAGGGTTAGGGGTGGATGGTGATCTGCAGGATGCTGTATACTGATGTTTCACACGCTCTCAAAGGGGTGAGAAGAGGAGATGGCAAAGTTGGACACGAACCTGATTACGACGGAGTTGGCGAATTGCTCTATTGTTTTGCGCGAGGCGTTTTTATTATACCTATGCACGGCGTTGCAAGCATGCTTTCCATCATTCATCGCGCTCGCTAGATACCACTTACAGATTGTTTGTTTCGTTTGAATGTCGATATTTGTGCCGCTTTAGCACTCTACTTTTGATGTTCATTTGCACATGTCACAGTGAGTGTAGCTATATGTGCCGGGTTCTGAGTCGTTGCTAAATGAGATGTAATCTTCTCAGTTATCCACAATATTCGTTTTGACAAACCATGGCATCTGACTCTCTCGAGATACTGAGCATTGCAGGCAACAGTCATTGCTCAAACGTACTTCATTCGAGATCATTCATGCGATGATATAGCTGTGGTCAACTTCTGGTCCATATTGTAACCGACACTGAAGGTCCATAAGCACTCCACTACCTTTTTTCCACCTTCATCAAATCGTATCTTCATACCTCGTACGCCTTCCTATGCATCTTGCTGATATATCTTCCCACTCAGAATTTAGACCTTGTTCTCGATGTTGCGCTCATCCCTCAACTTGACCAGCTTCTCTATCGCCTCGTCGAGCGGTACAATGACACCTCGCTGCTGTGTCTCTTGGTCGTCGCGGTTTCTCCAGTTCACAGCCCTTGCTTGTTGTTCCTCGGCACCAACGACCATGATGAAGTTGTAGAGTGCGAGTTGCGCTGTGCGAATCTTCTTTTGCATGGTGTTGCCGCTGATGTCAATATCGGCGTGGAGGTGGTGTTTGCGGAGCGCTGTCTGCACTTCCTTGACGTAGTCGTTCGCGCCAGGCATAACGGGAATGACCATGACCTGGCGAGGTGAGAGCCAGAAGGGCCATCGACCGGCGAAGTGCTCTGTGAGGATACTATCCTTGTCAGTAAACATGTTGGGGCAATTTGTAGAGACTGAAGCTTACGCGATGAATCGCTCGAAGGATCCATAGATAGCGCGGTGAATCATGACAGGACGAGCGTAGCCTGGTTGCGGCTCCTTAATCTTCTTGGGGATTGTGACGTCGGCACCTTCCAGTTTCTCCTTCTTCTGCTCAATGTGCCCGCCTTCCTGAGCCTGAGCCTGGTCCTTGGACTTTGTGGGAATGACTTCGGACGTCATGTATTCGAGCTCGAACTGATTAGGCAGTTGGAAGTCGAGTTGAATGGTAGCACACTGGAACTCTCGCTTCAATGCATCAGAGATGGTAATGTCGATCTTGGGGCCGTAGAAGGCACCATCTCCAGGGTTCAGCTCCCAAGCGCCACCACCGGCAGCTGTGAACTCGTTCAAAGCATCAGTCAGCTTGGCCTCTGCCTTGTTCCAGGTATCGATGTCGCCAAGGAATCCTTCTGGACGTGTGCTCAGCTTCAGCTTGAATGTGAAGCCAAACTTTCCGTATACCGCCTTGAGGAAGTCGAAAAGTGCAAAGATCTCCTCTGTGATTTGATCTTGGGTACAGAATACGTGAGTGTCGTCCTGCTGGAAACGACGGACTCGCGTGAGACCAGTGAGCGCACCGCTAGCCTCGTTTCGATGTAAGATACCGAAGTCGGCCATGCGAATGGGCAGTTCCCTGTAACTTCGCTCGCGGTGCTTGAAGATCAGGCAATGTCCAGGGCAGTTCATGGGCTTCAGCGCCCATTTCTCTTTCTCAACATCAAAGGTGAACATGTCTTCCGCATAATGCTGCCAGTGACCAGAGATCTTCCACAGCGCTGAGTTGTACATGTTTGGTGATGCCACCTCTTGGTACCCACGGTTCCAGTATTCCTCGCGAAGGAAGGCCTGTAGTGTGTTGTAGATGATTTGGCCGTGCGGGAGGAAGAAGCATGAGCCCGGGCTGTATTCATGGAAGAAGAACAGTTCTTGTTCTTTTCCAATCTTGCGATGATCTCGCTTTGCAGCCTCTTCGAGGAACTTGAGATGGGCCTGCATTGCGTCTTTATCGGGGAATGAGACACCATAGATACGTTGTAAGCTGTCGTTCTTGGCGTCACCCAAGAAGTATGACGCGGAGTTCTTCATGACCTTGAACTGCTTTATCCGCCCTGTGTGTGGTACGTGTGGTCCTCGGCACAGATCGATCAGCGGTCCGTTTCGGTACACGGTGGTGAAGGTGCCGTCGGCGATCTTGTCCTTGATGATGTGCTGCTTGTACTTATTCGACTTGAACATCTCGAGTCTGGAAAGTTTTAGCATTCTTCTTACATGAGGGGCGACAATCTTACAGGTCGTCCTTGGAGAGGGTCAAGCGCTGGAATGGCTGCTTCTCCTTGACAATAGTGTTGACAATGGTCTCGAGCGGCTTGTGGTCGGCGGGATCGACTGCGGCGTTGTCTGGAAGAGCCATCTCGTAGTAGAAGCCGTCCTCGATTGGAGGACCAATGCAGAGGTCGCATCCAAATCTGCGTTCCGATGCTTCTCCTAGGATATGTGCGCTCGAGTGCCAGAAGACCTTCTTGCCCTCGGGGTCGTCGAATGGTAGAAGCTCAAGCTTGCAGCTCTTCTCCAAAGGCCGCTCGAGATCCCACAGGGTCTCATCGGGTGTGCCCTTGTCCAGACGCGCAACGACGGTGCGCTCGAATAAGCTCTTCGCGATGTTTCGCGCAATGTCGGCGGGACTGGTAACCCATGACTCTCCTTCGATGTTCTTGCCGTCTTCAAGGGTGATGGTAATCTTCTCTGCAAGGCGTGAGGTGTCAGTACTAGGAATCGGCGGCATTATGGGATGAGCGTACCGCGGGGCTTTTGGGCTATCTCTTCGTCGTATTTCGCCTTGAGCTTCTCGAAGATCTGGATGCGGTGGTCGATGAAGGCCGGCGCAGGGTCGAGCATCAAGGGACGACCATCACCAGCATCGCCCTTGGCCTTCTTCTCTTTCTTGGGCTTGGGGGCCTTGTTTTCCTTCTGCTCAACCTTCTTCTCGGCATCTACGGCCAAGTTCTTGACGCCTTCGACAGCCGAGTTGACTGCATCCTTGACTGCGTCCGCCATGTTGTTGGTGTTGTCGAGTCTCAGGCGCGTTGGGCGGGGTTGTATGAGCTGTGACTCAGTCGTATGCGAGGTGCTGCAACTCGGGGGTGTGACGGGAGTGCAGTAGATCTATAATAGATACGGGCGCTATGGTGACTCCTGCTCGGTGTGCAGAGTCCGGTCCGAAAGCAAAGCAACGTCAGACTCAGTCACAATGCCAAAAAGATGCGCGCGCACGACAGCCCACTTAGCCGTTTAGGAGGCGCATTTGGTGGGGTTGCATGCGGCGGAAGGAGCCACCGGCGAAACGTGGTACCGATTGGCCGCGCTATCTGCAACTTCATTTTCAGTCGAACTTTTCGCGAAGCTCTAGACCAAGCTCACCTTTCGCGCACCGATCCACATTCAACATCACCAACAACATGGCATTTCGCGGAACTCCTCGTGGTGGTCGCGGCGGCGGCTTCGGCGGACGTGGTGGATTTACTCCTCGTGGAGGTGTGTAGCATGTCGAAAGCTCTACACGACTTTTAGCTAATGCGCGACAGGACGCGGCGGTGGCTTCGGAGGAGGCTCTTTCGGGCCCCCAGACACTGTCATCGGTACGTGGCGCGATCACACGGTCAAGCAAAGCGCTAATGACCATGCTAGAAATGGGCAAATTCGTTCACGACTGCGAAAACGAGATGTTCTGCGAATCGATAAACACCAAGATTCCCTACTTCAACGCGCCCATCTACCTGGAGAACAAGGTACATATACCGCGACGGGAAAAGGCAAGGATGACGGGCTGACCCAGCGATAGACACCCATCGGCAAAGTCGACGAAATCCTCGGCCCGTTGAACCAGGTCTACTTCACCATCAAGCCTCAAGAGGGCATACAAGCCAAGTCTTTCAAGGCTGGCGACAAATTCTACATTGGAGGCGACAAGCTGCTCCCTCTTGACAGGTGAGCCGGTTCAGATGGCATTTGGGATTTTTGCGCTAATTCCTTTAGATTCCTTCCCAAGCCTAAGCCCGTCGGTGGTGTTACGAAACCTAAGAGGGCCGCCGGTGCCGGTCGTGGAGCACCTCGTGGCGCAGCTCGCGGCTTCGGAGGTCGTGGTCGTGGAGCACCCCGAGGACGTGGTGGACCTCCTGGACGTGGCGGCGGTTTCGGTGGCCGTGGAGGAAGTGGATTCGGCGGTCGCGGCGGCGGCGGTGGTGGGTTCTCAAGAGGTGGACGCGGCGGTGGTGGTTTTGGTGGACGTGGCCGAGGAGGATACTAAGTGCCTCGATCCGGGACGGTCACCACTTCATTCGGAACACGCTGGCAATGCGCACCCGTTTGCGCTGCCGTTTCGGCTCGATTCTACGACTACCTACCGATACCATGATCATTTGAGGCGTTTTGGAGTTGATGGGGCCAATGTATCATGTCTAGACATGGCGCCATGCTATGGACATCTTGTAAAGGACGCGCGCGTTATATTTTCTAGTCAAATTACTCTGAAGTCCAACCTGCCCGATGCATTTGGGCGACTGAAACATTTTCTAGAGCAGAGTTCAACGCCAGCGACCGTGCGGGAAACGCTCGCAAGACGTCGCAAGCCAGACTTATCGATTAAACGGCAAAGATCACACGAATGCACTTGGTCCGCTAGTACGAGCTGTTGTTTTGGAAATCGCTAGATTACGGTCTGTTCGTCAGACTGGTAGTTGTTCACTGCAGCCATGAAAGAGCGCTTCCAAAAGTGTTGCACATCTGGAAGGCCTGCGGAACGCAAACTCGCTGTATACAGCTGTATAATTGTGTACCATGAGTGATCCGTACCTAGATGCCTGTTCGCATTGGGTGGCTCTGTAGTTTAGTTTACGCGCTGCTGCAGTGAGCCGCACGGCTTATGATCAACATGAAAAACATGCGCAGACCAGTCAATGCTAATTTCGAAGAAACTAACAGTAGATAATAAATCAGACGTCACAACTGTCAAACACTGGAGCCATGTCAACATGCCAGGTTTGTAGCAAAGGGATGTTTGCGCCGGTCCAATAGTCTCGTTCCCAGCCCCATCCTAGCTTGGGAGGCTGGGCTGCTATGAAGGTTCCTCGGACCACAACAACAGGGGCTTTGGCAATTTCAGCATCGTGCATTCGCAATTTCCATCATTCTATTCCCCGCGTCTCCGCAAACATCTTTCCTGATTCTCCCGTCCACGATAACACCACCCTGAAGGAAGTGTTCGCTGTTTAGGCACCTCCGAGACCTCCGCACCCGCCCCGCAACACCCTCGCACGTTGCTGAGGTTACCTGTAACGTCATCCATCATCACACGCACTACACGACCGCGAGCGCAGAGACTCGAGATACTTTCGCGACAAAAGCAATTGAGAACGGGAGCGAAAAAGCACCCGATTTTCGCGGTATAGGAGAAGGGAAGCGTTGCGACAGCGCCAAGTCCCAAGCCTAATCTGCGGATAGGCGGCATAGCAAATCAACGACACGAGGCTCTGTAGCTCGAAGCGCAAGAACTCTGGACTCGAAGAACCGTTGCACCGGCGAAATACCACCGTTGCGCATATCGAACGCCACAGCAAGAACACTCTAGCGCAAGCCTGCCCGCAATCGCATTCACCAGAACCCTCCCGACTTAGCCGCCGAGGCGCGACAGAAAGATACAATGGCTCGCGCAGGACATTCAGGCACAGTTGTGGGCTCAGCGGTAGTAGTACGGGAGAAGTACTACTGGCCCGACCTACAACTGAACATCTGGACGATTGTCATGCTTGCAACAGCCGGAACAATACTGGGAGTGAACGCGCAGTTTATGGCGATACAAGATCGGATGGGATTGGGGACGCCATGGTATGTACAATCTATAAGCCATGAACATTGCTGGGCGGCATGCATACAGACGCTTTGCTAACGAGCCTCACAGGATTATGCCCTACGGCGTCACAGTTGGCACTCTGGCCATAATCTTCATCATCATCGAAATCGTCTTCATCGCGCAACGGAAACTCCTCCCGGGTACCATGATGCTCCTATCCTTCATCCTCCTCGTCCTTTTCATCGCCGGAATAATCGGAACTGCGATACAACTCTTCGCCGGACCCAACATCAACAACCAGTGCAATACATACGTCTTCAACAATGACGTGGATGGGCCGAACATGGATACATTAGCATTTCTGCAGCAGAGGAATATCTGTAAGTATTCTTGGTGTTTGAAATCACTCGGACAAATGAAGAGACATATGGCTAACAGTAAACAGGCCAATGCTGGCAAGCCGAGTTCGCTTTCTGGATCATCGGAAGCATATTCCTCGTGTGGATGATGGTCATGGCGAGCCAAGTCAACTCGAACACATATGCCAGGTGATCCAACGGCTCAGACCCGCCAACTTCCAGCTCTTCTTTGGACTCTTGTCCATCTTCTTTGTGTCTTATTTTCTGCTTTCTGACGATGGCCACGCGTATATGAAAGAAGCGCGTATTGCGTGATTTCCAGCAATAGCGGCGGCGTTAGGGAAATGTTATTCTTCTTCATTACGAGATACCGATGGGACGCATAGTATGGAAAGATGGGTGAATGTAAGGAAACGTAGCAGGACTGGCGGATCTTCCGGCTATCAGATCTGTATGATGAATAATAGCAAAATGCATTTTCCATAATAATCGATTGGAGCAGAAGAAGTTACTCTTGCCCCTAACAACTGCCAACATGCTGTCAGGCTACCATGGGACGGTTGCAGACTGCTAGCTATCTGCAGGGCATACACCCATTTCTTCCCATGGGAATCATAACCTTTCAGGCACGAAGAGCCTCATACACCATGGAACTCGCGGTGTGATTACGACTGGTACCGCGACTCGACCTGCATTTCACATTTCGCCCTGCATCTGAATCCCAATCTGACCCTCTCTCTCCGCGGAAGCTAGGAACGCCATCATAAGCACCAATCCTAATTCCCTCATAGCCAGGATGGAATACGAACACAGACAATGCACCACCGAAAGCAGGTTTGGTAGAACCCCCATTTCGCACTGACAAAAAGAGTCCCGGGTCTTGGTCTTACCCGGAGATGGAGCCGCGGGCCCTCTGGATTCGAGGCTAATACGTGGACCTGGGCAAAAGAAGTACGAAGGGCGAGAAAAGGAACTTCGGTCTTTAGCCCTGGGAGGTGCGATAGCAGTGATCAATGCCTTTGCTTCTTCAAGATCAACATTAAGTGGTCATCTTGACAATGCATGCGTGACCCGTCCCGTCCTTCGCCGTCACCCAGCCGACGCATTTATCAGAAGTGAGGTGTATTAATCCCGTTCGTTACCCAAGCCGCCCGCGCCCATGCACCACCAGCCACGGGCCTAACACCCACTAAATCGGCGATCATACCGTCACGAATCCACACCGTACAGATAGATTTCCCAGCCGCGCATTCTTACATCATCACGTTTCAATACCAGCCACGCTTCCAGATTGGGGCTTAATGGTTACCCTTGGCGACAAGGGCTGGCCTCGCCTTTTACCAGCGCCGTGACCAATCAAGACGCTGCGACTCGGACACGAAGTTGGCACGAAACGCGTCGGCGACTTCTGGAGCGCGTCGATTTGGGCAGACTTCATTGGCTGTGAGGATATGCGGAGGTTAGGAGGAGGGGTGTGTGGCTGGCTGCTCCTTGTAGAGCTTTATGACTCTTACCTGGGGTGCAGTGGTTCGAGATCTTCTGAATTGATGTGTTGTTCTGTGTATGTAGGGTACATGCAGGTAATACGTGATGGTGTGATGGGAAGGGCGGCGTGGTCGTTGTAACACCCAGGTGTTGCCGCTCGTGAAGGGTGCATAGGATCTTTAGTGTACTTCAATCTGCTGCAAACCGTTGATCATGTTCGCATTTGCCGCATAGCTTTCAGACAAGTGGTGGTAGTGGTTGGAAATGCAGACGTGTGGCGTAGCGATGATTCGCTATCGTACACAGCCTTCCCACAGTGCATTAGCGAGACCAGGAAACAAGTATGTACGGCACTTTATCATTCAATGCATCTTATTATTCGCCTACATGACCAAACCCCAAAATGCAGTTGCATTTCGGAGGTGCCTGGCTAGGCCGTCGGTCCCATTCTACCGCTCGCGTAATGTGATACTGCTATACTATGCTGTGCTGAGCTGATAGCAAACAAATGAACAGAAAATTGCGTAGAATACAGTCGCTGGAAAAAAGTGTTCAAACGGGGATATGCGTGAAGGGTGATACAAAGCGCTTGCGTTGCTGCTAGCTCGATTTTGCCGCCAAGGGGCGGTTGGGCGGTACTTGCGAAAGATAACGTAGGAAACGTATGCAGTTATGCATGGGTTGTGTCGATGATGCCCTCCATAACCAAAGAGGTCTTGCCTCTGTAAACGCCATGCTTATCAAGGAATCAAAAGTAAGTGAAGAAAGGAGACGCCATTCGATAGCGGCGTTGGGTGGATTGGTGGCGGGGCGATGCACTGCGCATGCTTAATGTCGCCCTGGTGTCGTTGCGTCGTGCCCACATGAGTGCTGGGCTGTATGTGGAAGATGATGTAAGGATCACGAGATGAGCTCTCCGCCAAGGTCCATTGGACCGTCCATTCTTCCAACATGGGCGTTCATATGGGAAGCGTCACCAGGAGGACCAATGTTATCGAAGTTGAGGTGACGTCGTGCTTCTCGGACGGCAGCAGGTGTTCGTGTGGCCACAGGGGTGCGGTTCCATGACGATGCATTGGCCTGGGCAGGACTCGGCGACATGTTGAGGAACTCGGCAAAATTGAGGTTTGTCGACGGTGTCGCAAGTCCGAAACCCATGTAGTGAGAGCCGCCACCGCCAGGCGTGGACATCATCGACGAGGGAAGAGGCGTCGCTTTGGGTGGTGGAGTCGATGGCGCAAGCATCTGCGGCTTCTGGTGACCTGGACGGACTGGTGTCGGTGATGTAGCCAGGTACATCAAGAGGTTTGCATCGTCATCTCCTTGCTTTCCTTCCCGAGCTGCGCCGGCAGCATTGAATCCACGTTGTCGGAGACGTGCTGAGCGAGCGACATCAGGGGGCGGCGTGCGTGGGGCCCTCTGCGGCGGCGGCGATGACTGGAAGTGCGATCGGTCGAGGGAGAAGTGCGATCTGTTGATAGAGAAGGATGTGATGGGTAGGTCTTCGTCATCGTCTTCGGAGAGTAGGGGCGAATGTGGATCGGGAACGGTCGAGGTTTCGGAGACGAAAGAAAGGCTAGGGACATGTTGACGACCAAAACGTGCGTGCCGGCGATGGTATACGGGCGAAGACTCGGGCAGTTGGAAGCTGTTCTTCCATGAGGTAGCAGCGCTGGTGGCTGTCCTCACCTTGACACGGGCGTGGTTGCTCGATGCTGGGTACATTGTCCGGTCTTGACGGGGCCGCTTGTTTTGAAGGTAACTGCCTGTGCTGACGGACCGGCTGACGGATCGTCGGACATCGTCGGAGAATATGGGGGCTTGGAGTGGGGAGGAGTCGAGGACGCTGGGTTGATAGAAGCGCTCGGAGACGCTCGAAACATCCGACATGGCTTCGTTGCTGGAGCCGGGGCGCTTACGTTTGCGCTCAGCGCCGTCGAGGACGGGTTCAATGGCATCCAGGCTGAGGCTTTCCCAGCCGTTCTTCATCTTGACGTTGGCCAGGGCGAGGCGGTTCTGCAGCGTTCGGGTCATCTGTAGTGCACCTGGTTAGCAAACAAAGGGCGAGGGGCTGCAGACGGAGAGATGGACCTTTGAGACTTGGGCCCTCCGCAGGACCTTGCTCGCGACTTCATCCTGTTCAGCCATGGCGGAGCAATTGGGTTGGACGACGGGGTAGGGAGATCCAGCAGTGATATGGCCCGCTGAACGTCTCGATAGAGCTGCTACAGACGAAACGTGGGCGGAGCTGAGGTGACGGTCCGGCAAGGAATGTGAGGAGCTGGCGATGCAAGCGGACTAGCCTCAAAGTCTGCGGCAGCACAGGCCTCGTACTTGCCAGGGCGTTGTAGGAGTGATGATGAAGTCAAGGTGCTAGGAGTCGCAAGCGGCACGAAAGCCTTAGTGACCCCATAGCGGGCTCCTATCCGGCGCTGGAGCCTTGTCCGAGTGCGCCTGCAACAAAGAAAACCTATGCTGCTGAGGGTTTGGCGAGCGGCAGGGGTCGCGCATCTGGTGGCTGCGGTAACGTGCTGAGTAAGACAGGAGAGGTACCGTATGGTATCGGTAACGCTGGACCGTGGGAATGTTTCAGACACGCCTTGCCTTATCGCTGCAGGCCATGCTCGGGGAACGGGCGAGGTCCGTTGCTTCTCGAGCTACACCACATGGATGCGCGGATGACGACGCGCAGAATCGGTGACGGGGCCGGCCACCACATATGCCTCGACGCCGCATGCGCATCACATGCGTGTGTCAAAGGCGGACAGCTTGCCATGCCATTGTCGCTCACGGCGCTGAAGGACATGACACTGGATGGCATACACATGTCAGATCACGACCTGCCGTCCCAAAGCGGCTAGAGGACGTTGCGCACCAACGTCATTCGTTGAGTCGCTAGGAAGTCGCGAACGCCTGCTCACCATGCGCTCGCGCTCGACTCCACAGTCGCAACTCTTACTAGCTGTCCTCCCGCAGTTGCGCAACAAGGCCAATTCCTGCCAACTGGCCTGCTTTGGCGCTAGAGCCTTCCCAATTGAACAACTACCTGTTCGGTCCTGCTAGCTTGGATCGACGGAGCTGCTGCACTTCACGTCGGCTGCCTCTCCACCTCGACAGCGCTGCCACTTTCTTCACCACCAGCTTTTCTTTGCCCTCTCCCGTTATACTGCATATCCTGCTTTCACTCGCTTCCCGCATAGTACATAGCTATTGCCAGTACACTCTCCCGCTCGCTTGTTCCCACCCTATCAGTGATTATCACGCTCGCCGTATTACGCGTCCTCACAGCTCCACAACCGCGCCCTCCTTGTCGCTCGTTACCTACCTGCGCTGTACCTCACTGAGACGACACTGAACATATCCACTTTGGACCTTGGACGATACCTACGCCTATGATTTCATAATTCGACCCGTATACCAGCGCCGTAGTTGTCACCATGCCGTCTTTCCTCAGAAGCCTTGGTAGGAAGAGCAGCCGCATGTCCAAGAATGGCGACAAGCAAGCAAATGGTGCCGATGCCCAGAACGGCAAAGGCTTAGCCCATCGCGTATCCGCCTCTACCTTGAACTCCTCTCAAGTTGGCTCGTCGACGCCCTCTACTACGCCAGCCACCTCTACCACCGACGAAGTCAACACTCAAACCAAAGACCTCACCAATGGCCCTACACCTGCGCCTGCGCGACCTCAACGACCGACTGTCGACCCCGTGAAGCGTTATAGCATGAATGTAAGAAATCGTAGCCATCTTCGCAAGACGTTGCTCTAACAGTACCTCCAGGGTTTAGCATCGCCTACCTCGACCGGCTCCAACAGCTCGTTTAATAGATCTTCGCTACTCGCGCCGCGCATCCTATCGGTCTCGGATAACTCCTGGGTACACCAGCAGGTACTGCTCATATTCGGGCAGATCGGTGAAGCACAGAGCAAACCGCTGGACGGCACACTTACGGTTAATCACCATCAGGGCCGCTTCCCATCTACTTGCTGGCCAGTACATGACTCCTACTTCAAGGCCTTGGTGCACCTGGAGCCTGGCTGGAACAGGATCCGACTTGACTTTGCCTCGCCCAAGGTCTCCTCACCGAACACCTCGGTACCCGCACATGCCTCTTTCATCAACATTAATTACCTCCCATTGTCGCACTCGCCGCCTCTCCAGCTTGCGATCATACTAGGTCATGATTCTCCCGGCACTTACGACGCCCCACCAGAGCGCATCGAGCGAGAAGGTAACGACCTCGAACTTGCGACTAAGAAATTCCGTATGGCTGCGTATCTTTGGCAGGCCTTTACTGGCGAGCAAATGAAGCGTTACGGATTCGGTCGACGCTGCTTCCGATTTGAAGATGCCTGGGAACCTGGAACGCTAAGCTACCAGGATTGGGAGCACAACCAATACCGGACGCAAGCCAAAATCCACGTCATACGCTCAAGAAGGTCTGTCGCTGAAATACGCGACCTAGAACGCGCACAGCAGTACGGACCAGGAACCAAGAAGAACGAACTTTTCGACATTGCCATAGAAGCATGTAGAGACTACTTCCCCATGGTACCAGGCCAGAAACACTACGTCTCTTGTCTGTTCCTCGACACACATTGGGACACGCAAGAGAACACAGTTCGAGGACATGCGGCTCTAGGCGGGGGTACTGGAGATCTACAGCTAGCCATCTTCGGCTCGCATGCGCTCCATAGCTATCCGTCGAGCATCGAAGAAGTTTTCCAGGCTTTCCAAGACTGTACGCAAACTAACACTGCCTTCGTCGCCAATGACTGTAATGAATCTGGAAGCAATTGGGAAGCTGCCAACATAGGCATCGGTGCCCATCTGCATGAGACGGGTCATCTCTTTGGTTGTCCTCATCAGGAGTCGGGTGTAATGTTACGCGACTACGTTACATTGAACCGAACCTTCACTTGCCGAGAACCCTACTCAACCCGCACCAAGTCAACCGGTCAGCGTCTGGTCCTGCCAAACGACGAGTGCAGATGGCACAAGCTCGATGTCCTCCGTTTCCGATTTCACCCCTGTTTCCGCATACCTATCGATAGCCCGAACATCAATGGGGATGGCAGTGTCCAAGTGTGGACAGTCGATGTTAGCCAAGGCGGTGTCATCGCAACCTCGAAATCAGGCATCGCATGGGTGGAGCTGTACACCGAAGGAGAGGAGGTTTGTCACTACTGGAAAGAGTTTCCTGAACAGGACAACCAGTATCCACGACAGGTTGCACTGGAAGAAAACTCGCTTCGTTCTTTGTTACCCAAGGAGAAGCAAAAGTTGCGCTTGAAGCTCGAAGTCTACTCTGCCGGTGGAGGCAAGCACGTGGTGGAGGATTTCAGCCAGCTTTCCAACCAGAAGAACTCCCGAGTCAAGATACCGGACGGGCGATGGGGCTACCGCGGTGGCAAGCTTGGCTACTCACAGATGCAGGGCTCACAGCCTCATGAAGTCATCTTCGATTACGTCCATATTCAAACCAAGCTTTTGCTTAGCATCAAAGTGTACCATGGTTCCGCGGTGGATGGATTGGAATTTGTGTATGAAGACACACACACCCAACTTTTCGGCAAGCGAGGAGGTAGCATGACTGAGTTTGCCTTGGATACCCGGAAAGGAGAGCTGCTGCTGGGCTTTTCTCTGCGCGCTGGCCTTTGGATCGATGGTCTACAAATACTAACAAGCCTGGGGAGGAAGAGCGAGTGGTATGGAAACCCAAATGGTGGTAGCGGGTATGTATGAGATCCATGGCTTGACGAATACTAGCTAACCCGAATGTGTAGACACACGCTCATCCCTCCTCGTGGCTACACCATCGGCGGCATATCAGGCTCCTGCGCACAATGGCTCGACGGTTTCTCTTTGATCATCACGCGGTGATTGTATCACTGCACAGCTTGACATACTTTCCTTGTTCCCGTTTGCGACAATGTCGTCGCCTACACCAAAATAGACGTCATGATCGTCGAGCAGTTGCCACAAGACACGATCATACTGCGTTACCATGGCCCTGGTGGAGGTTCCAGACAAGCTATCTTGTACCTTTCCGGCATGTTTGCATACTCCATCTCTGGAGAGCTTGGCTCCTTGCAGCATTTAGGTCGGCATCAGGTGTACCGGGTTAGAAACTGGTTTGATCCTGTTTGATGGAACTTTCCTCTTCCTGTTGTTGGTTCAGGAAGGCTTGAATCGCAGATTTAGAACCATGATACCACAGTCATTGAACTTGACTTTCTCTGTAATAGTAACAATTCGAATAGACTTCTTAATTCACAGGGACTTGCAGTGACATGGTAATTGCCTTTCAATGCTGCTTCCTCTAGAGATGGTGCAGTTTCAGTCGAGTCTCTTTTAGATGATTTTGATAATAGGGTATCATTGTATTTTGTACGCCCGCTAATCGATCATAGCATCGTCATGCGTCTTACTAACAGGACAAAAGTAGCCGATTATCCTCTCTATAGGCCAAAGATCCATTACTTCCATCGTCCCAATCGCAGCGGCTCACATACAAAATGCTGAGCTTCTCTCCTCTGCTCCAGCAATCTAGGGCTTGGGAATATGGACGCTCTTGCTAACCATCAAACATCCGTGAAGAATGAACATGGCAACAACAGGGTGAAACTCAAACGCCGTGCCCTCAAGCCAAAGACCCATGGGAATCTGCTCCAGCGTCCAGCCCTTGTATACCCAGTATGCCATGACCTGCACAATACCCAGTGACATGGGAATCGGCGTGCCCTCGAAGTACTTGCTCTTGCCCGTCGCATCCTTTGGCACCATAGCAACCGTAACGTTGAACCTCGCGAGACGCGTAAGACCGCAGAGCACGAAGAAGCTGAGGAGGAGATGGTCGACGGGGGTGCGCAGACCGAGACAGAAGGCAGCGGCGGCGGGACTAACACCGAAGGAGACGAGGTCGGCTAAGGAATCGAGTTCCTGGCCCATGAGCGACGCCTTCTTGCGCCAGCGGGCGACTTTGCCGTCCATGAAGTCGAAGAAGAGACCGAGGGGGATGAAGCCGAGGGCCCAGTACAGGTTCGTGTAGTTGAAGGGGTCTGACTGCGTGCAGTAGCGGAGGGAGGACATGATGGACATTACGCCGCAGAAGCCTAGTATCTTGTTAGTACGGGTTCACGTTCCTTCGCGTCGTAACTGGCGGAAATGTATATCGGAATGGACATTGAGAAACGTACCATTGAGCTCGGTAATGTAGTCAGCGGCGTGCAGAGCTCTGACAAGAGAGAAATGTCCAGCGTCCTGCGAGAGGAGCCTTTTTTGCTTGTCCTGCACTGTTCTCCTTGTTAGCTCTTTCTTGTCCATATATCGCGTTGGGTTATTTTGCTAACATACCCTCACCCTTCGCTGGGGGCATCTCGTCTTTGGGCTGCGGCTCTCCGCCGTTCCGTCGTTGCGACATGGTTTTGATGTTGTTGCGGGTGTGTGTGTACTGTGCAGTAGGCCGCTTCCGCTTGCTTCAAATCGAGATTCAAGACAGAGATATCGAGGTGTCTTGTGTTGCGCAAAGGCAGAAACTAGAGGGGGGGAGCGGGAAAGTTAAGGGTCTGGGTAGGGTTGTTGCGTGGAGAAAGCTTGCTGTTGGTGTGCGCAGGTAGGCAGTGACGTGCCCCGGGCAATTTGGGCCTAGATCAAGGCGGCTGGGGACCAACGTCATTTTCGTCCTACGCAAACTTCCGTGCTGCTGCTGCACTGCCCGGCTCAGCCATGTGATTCGCACGTGCCTGCGGCAATTGTTCCTTTACATCGGCAGTTCTTCGTTCAGCATATCCAAGTATGTGACTGTGTCCTGAACAGAGGGGTTAGGATCTGCCTACTCAGCACTGTGCGCCGAAATTGAGAGATGTCTTGCCTCAGCGCGTTGCACAGTCAGCACAAAAGCCCTTCTACTATTGCAGTCGCTCTAAACAAGAAATTATCTATTACGAGATATACATGGCAAGGAAATTATACAAGAAGTATATCATACATATACACAGGCCATTAGCAAATGCTCGAAGCCCAAACGCCGCCTTCATGCTGGCAATGCCCAAAACCCAATGCCCATCAGCTTCATGATCTACTTCCGTCGGCTTACAATCTTGGTGACGGCATGCCTTATGATTGTGCCGGCCTTCTCTGTCTCCTTCTTTGTCAGACCACTGGTGACGCACACCTTCAGTGCAGGTGTAGGTTGCCAGCCTGCATCCCGGGGGTTCAATCCAAGACCGAGTGGGAAAGACTTGAGTCGTGTGATGAGGACGCCGTTTGCGAGACACTGTGGCTGTTAGCAACTTGCCTAAAGATAAAATCGGGAACGCAACGGAGAGAACGTACCTCGTCGACAACTTCCCTGAAGATCTGGTTCTGATCGTCTATGCTCAGTTTCTTGTTCTCAATAACCTCGTCTTTGAGAACAAGGAGCATGATAGGGTTATCTCCTGAGCTACTGCACTTGACCCAATCACTCCTGGGGTCCAGCTGTCCCCGCATCGCCTTGACATTGTCCCTGAGTCCCGCGAGGATATCCGGTTGTTGTTGCAACAGGCTGATTGTTTCACTCGCTGTTGTACTCAACAAAGCAGGAAGCGCAGCGGAATAGGTGTAGGATGCGGACGAGATGCGCTGATGCTCAACAACTTCCTCATTACCAGCACAGAATCCTCCTGCCGCGCAGAGAGGGCCAGAAAGCGAGCCGATGATCATGTCTACTTCTGCAGCGTCGACGTTCTGCGCTTCGGTGACGCCGCCGCCGGTGCGACCGAGGACGCCGTAGGACCAGGTTTCGTCGAGGATAAGACGGAATTTATACTTGAGTTTGAGTTCAACCTACACAAGCTGTTAGCCGATTCGTCCACCTTGGTAATTAGCATGAACACGCGATAGACGTACGATCTTTGGCAGGTTCACCACATCCCCAATGTTCTCAAACAGGCCCTCGGTGATGATGAAGCGTCTGGTGAGCGGCTTCTTGGCCTGCTCCTTGACAACCTTCTTTAGGACGTTCTCCAAATCCTCCATATCATTGTGTTCGAACCACCTGACAGTACTGCGACTGATTTGAATGCCCTTTCGCGCAGCGAAGTTGAGCGCCTTGTCCGCCACGATGATATCTCCTCTCTTGCTGAAACTGGGAATCACACTGCTTATGGTCGAGAAGGACTGCGCGTAGATGATGCAGGCGGGGACACCGAGGTGTGCAGCGACGTCGGCTTCGGTCTTCATGTGAACATCCTGTGTGCCGTAGAAACCAGGGGGGCCACAGGGGCCGACGCCGTATGTGCGCAGGGTCTGAATGGCCTTGTCTTTGAGGACATCGTTGGAGAGGAAGTTGTAGAAATTGTACGAGGCAAGGTTCGTGACGGTGCGGCCATTGGAGAGCTTCGACTTGGGGCCGGTCGGTCTGCGCGGTGCTCATTAGCATTGGTTCGGAACACTGGGAGGGGCGTTTGCCATACCCAACAATGATGGGTCGCTTCTCGTTGTCCAATTCCTCGAGGGCAGTAGTGGGCGCGACAAGCGGTTCTGGCGTCCAGTCTTCGACCAATTCATCGATCTCCTATTTCCTTGTCAGCCCACCATGTCGGTCAGCCTGTCTGCAAGGCGCAAAACACACCTCATCCGTAAGTTGAACCTTCTTCTTCGTGCTATACTTGGGTGCAAGTAGGTAGCGCACGGCGAAGAGGAACAGGAACAGCTCTACCGCGCTGCGAACGGGGTCGTTCTGGTAACTCGACTTGATGTAGCGAACAGCGATGGCGGAGCCGGGTATGCGATTGAACTGCGTATTGGCGTCGGCGATGAAGCGCGCAGTAACATTCTGTATCTCATGCAGGTCCATATTGCTGGTCGTGTTATCAATGGTACCTCCTTGATGTTTGGGGGTTCACCTGGGCAATGTTGCGGCGACGCCGGGAATGCCGTCCCAAAGCGGTTAGCTCCGTGTGTACACCTGGGCAGCGCGTGTGTCTGTTGACCAACCTTCCAGGTAGCCCTCGAGACCTCTCTATAGCCTCCCAATAGTAACATTTTCTACGCATTTGGGACGAGTCGATTTCAGAAGCAGTTAGAGACATGCTCCACTACCAGTCATCAATCTCGAATACTTTCTCGTACACGGCTCTGGACTTCATTAATCCTACACCCTTCTAGTACTTTAAACCCTTGCAGGGTGTCAGGCAACCAGTTGAGCCTTCTTATCGCACCGGCCGAGGCCACGATGCATACTGATCCTACCTAGGCGGGGCGTAATGCTCGGTAAGAGAACTGGTTACATAACGGGCAGGAGACTTCGTCTTGGTTAGTAGTCTCTCGTATGATGCTTTTAATGTAAGTTAGAGCCACTTCGACGGTGCAGAAGGAGTGGTGTGGAAAGACTTGTCCGTTGCCTCGCAAAATCAACTATCTCCTCTCATCATCACTTCCCAGGTTGAGGTCACAGCTTGAGCAGCGTCTTATATACGAAATAGTGAATATGCGATTGTATCAACGATCACGGGCAACTCAGCCAATCAAATTTTTCCCCACTGAGCTGGATAAAAAAACAGTCATCCACACGCAAGAGCAACGCGAACGTGGCGTCGCGCAGGTAAGGCATGTCCCGTCAATGAATTCGAACTAGAAGATGAGCCCGAGTTCATGGTGATATGGATCGACAAGCTGCACACCGACAGAAGCTTTGATTATCTGCTCGTGCTCCAGCGGCCCATCCAAGGGGCTCAGTATGGGAGGGTATATGGCGGAATAGCTCAAGATACGACATCCGCAAATCCCAAGTAGCGAAAGTGAATACGTTCTACCCGAGAAGAGCGACTTCTCACGTGAATATATGATGAGCTGCAAGGTTCATCCAGGGGACGGAGTTGGAGCAGTGCAAGTGGAAG